AAGATGGAGGCTTGACATATAAAATGGAAACTTGACATGACTTTGGTTCAATTACAAACACAGGCCTAAACCATACTATATTCATATGAAACAATAAAAATCAATACAAAAATAATAATAATACAATATACAACAGTGGATATCCAAAACCAAAATCTTGCTACCAAAATAAAATTGTTTAAAGCTGATCCTAAGTTTGAGCTCATTTATACTTATCTACAGGGAATAGAGAGGAAGAGAAAAAGTCAGAAATGGTTGGGGAAGGGGAGCGATTACAATAAAAAAAAAAAAAGAAAAAACTGGGGGTTTCACTACACTTCTGGCTTTTATGTATCAAAAGCCATGACTTCCTTGCACCTGCTAGTCCTGTCTGCCTGCCAGCTATCAGGTTTTCTCCTACTCTACAGGCCTTACTACATTCTCTAGGCTACTTTCCAATTCCATTCAGCTCTTGACAACCCTCCTATACTGCTTGTCTTTCACTCACACTACATGCAACGCTTCTGACAAACTATTAACAAAGAATTTTAATGTTGCTAACACTTGCTCATTGTTTTCACGTGTCTGCATTGTTTTGGTTGACTCCTTTCCTGCTGTGAGTAAACTGCATTTCAAATTCTCTTTTTCAGTCAGCCTAAATGGGGATCTCAGATGTCAGAAAGCTCAGCTTGGCTGAGAAATTTTGAGCCCACACTGTTGATTTCCCTGCTTGTGTTATAAGAAGTAACACACTAGCACCATGTCCCCAAAGACCTGCCACATGTCATAATTGTTTTTAAATATAGTCTTCCACTGAAATGTGTTCTAAACCTTTACAGGATGTACTTTTGAACACACTATATAACCAGTGAGATAAAATTTAATAAACATGGGATTAGTCCAGTTTTCTTATACCTAGTGATTCAGAAAAGCATTATTTTGGGTCCTCTCTATATCTAAAGAAGAAAACATGGTTGAGTATAGGTCATGGCTTTGTTACTAAAATACCCTGTCTTCAAGTTGATGAGAACCCCCATATTTTTGATGATGCATAATATTATGTCTGAGCTGATAGTTTGTATGTTTTTATTGGAAGAATTACACTAAAAGTGGAACTTAAGGATCTGGTTTTGCTTTATCCATTATAGTCACTTTCCAAAGTGAATGGGCCCTGTGTGAATTCTAATCCTTTTATCATGGATTTAGTTCATCTTAAAATGATGATCATGAATCTCAGTGGTGTGTGAGGGCTTGCAATGGTGATTAACAAAGGCCTGTTGCTATTCTGAAGTGCACTGAAGTATGTAATTAAACATTTTCCCCCCCAGATTGAAGTTGAGTTTTGAAATAAAAGTTGTTTGATTGAAGAGTCAGCTTTATGAAATGGCTGAGTTCTCCCCAAGCCTCAACAAACTTCCAAAACCTGATGGTACAATCAGGGCAGCCTGCACTTAAATTATCTATATGGTAAGAGTAGGCTCCTTCAAAGGCCCAGAGCCTGTGGTGGATTCATATTGATTTAAACTCCATTAAGTATACTTTTTTAAAGTCCTGATTGTGCTTCCTCTTTCCTAGATCCACTCAAAAGGAGAATGAAAGTGTAGAAGGTCCTGCTAAAAATGTGGGCATACCTTCACAAAGTCAGCGTAAAATCAGTTATTCAGCACAATGTTACACTGTGCTATACTGGTGCAAGTAAGGGCATATACACATGTTCCCAGGACCCACTCTACAGTCATGCATTTTACTTTAAGCTGTGTAATGGTAGATTAGGTCCTGTTTGTGCAGATGTTTGCCAGTGCTGGGAGCTGTGACTGGAAGCCAATCTAAGTAAGTTGAGGCTACCATGCTTGTAGAAGGGGAGTTGGTGGAATCAGGAGGGGGACTAGCTGGTCCATGAGGCAGTGTTGGTGGGTTTGCAGTGAGGTGGTTACCTGTCCATTTTGGGGAGATAAAAATATCTGGATCAGGGTAGGGAGGTAAGCAAAGTGCTGCTCTTTTACTGGGGTGAGAGTCTGGGCTTTCTCAGCCCCAGGAGTATGCTTTTAATGCGTGCAGACATTCTTTAGATTCAGGTAACCTCTTCCCAATCTAACTTAGTTGGCCTCTCCAAAGATCTGTATAGATCAGGATTTAGATCCACATAACCCTAGATCTAAGTGCAACATCGGTATACAGGCAGACAAGGTCCTTTAGGTGAATCTGATATCTTTTATTAGACCAACTTAAATAATTGGAAACAAAATTTTTTTTTTTAAATAGTGGAGAGCTACTCCCCAAGTACCTCTCCACTGTTTAACTGCTACATTCATCCCCCTTCTACCCCACACCCAGCCTGTCTTTCACCCACTGACTCCTCAATTTACATCTTCACTGACTGCCTATCTTGATGCATATCAGCCCAGCCTCTGGCTTCTTTACTTTTCATTTCATCCAGGACGAGCACACACCAACTGCTGTAACTTCCTCAGCCTGATGAAGGGTTTTTGAACCCAAAAGCTTGCCTTAATATTTTTTTCCAACTATTTAAGTTGGTCTAATAAAAGATATTTGATCCCCTAAAGAACCTTGTCTGCCTATGTCCTTATACCAACAAGGCTACAACCGACACCCCTGTAACATCTGTATAAAACATCTGAGTCAAATTTACCATATGTGAGCTTTGCTTTGGTGTCATTCTGGGGTAATGGTGGTATAAGTAACCTCAGAATCATATATGTGTAAATTATTTTCTTGTGAACTGAAGAGGTAATATGATATAGGAGAACATGGCAGGAAGTTCTCTATGTATGGAATCCGGTTTGGTGAGGACTGTGTTTGGCATGTGAAGAGGAGGTGTCACTAAAGAGGGAGCAGACATGAGACAAGAAGGGATTATTATACATTGACCACAGAAAGGAGTTCTGTACCTAATCAGACAAATTGCTCTTATTCCAGAATAATAAAGAAGAGTTTAGAGCAAGAATTGATCAAAACTCCTACATTCTGGCTAAGTCCTATGTAAAGGCTTGTTTTGGATCTGGCTGTAACTGCATATTCAAGATGGGTTTGAATCTTTCTCTATTGCTACTGATATTTGTTAAGAATTCCACGTAAAGATTTACACAGAGAAAACTACATACAGTGCACAATGTGTATTGTTGTTCCTACAAAAGCCAGGCATTATGCTACATATTCCTGAGTGCCATCTGCTGGCTTTTTATCTATTACCGAACTAAAAATACACTCATGTACATGCTCATTTATAGACTACTCCCATAAAAATATTGATCACTGTTGCAGGCAAGACACTTGACTAAATGGACTGCTGGCCTAATTTGATAGAACAATTCTTGTTCCTGAACCTTTAAAATTTGCTAAGAAAATTGACAGTGAAGCAAATTTATCTTATTAATATACTTCCAAAATCTCTATTTCCATTTTGCTCCACCTTATTTGAGATTTATTTTGGAATGCTGATGACAGGGAATAACAAAGTAAATTTAAGTTAATTTAGGGCTTATGACATTATCAGTTATAGCACTTTCATAATTTCTTTTAATACAAGCAACATCAATAAAAATAAAGACTTCTTATAAATGAATGTTTTAGTTATTTGTCAGGCAAGGATTTCTTAGGGTGGGATAACTGCATAGTTGGGATAGATTTAGACAAGTTTTTGAATGCAAGACATTCTTCTTCTTAGTTATTTATATTATCCCACTATATTTCAGTATTTCATGCACATTACTGGAGGCTGCAGTGAGGCAAACAGTAAGCAATATAGCACCTTTAATAAAGTAATAAGAAATTAGGAAAAATGCTTCCCATTTTTGGTCTGTGGCTACACTCCTATTGACTTCAGTACCCCAGGATTTCACTGCATATCTTC